TTTTTGGTGATATGGTAGTAGTATGTAGTGAGAGGGAAGGAGAAGAAGGGGAAGAAGAAGAAGGGGAACGACTGCTGAGCTGGCTTACATAAGCTCGAGTAGGTAGAAACTTAGAAACTCAGACAGCTCCCAAAGCCTAGACTCTTCTGCCCTCAACAACACACAAAGGCTGCTTCAAACAAACAAACACGTACAAAAGATTTCGACGTTCCAATCAAACAAGAGGCCGAGGAAATCTGGACCAAACCCATAAGTTTTTGCACAGCTGTCGATGTTCTCCTTGTGGGGAGAGAAGATCCTGTATTCGTAAACATGATGGTCATGTCTTTCACATATCCGCTAAAAATGTTAAGAGTAGATTAGGTGTTGTAGCAGGCCTACAATAACTGCTAGCAACAAGTACTAGTGCTCAAATATAACACAGTGCTACATAAAATAATAGCAAAATCCAAATAAACAATCTCTATTGGTGTGTGGGCAGCTGGCTCACAACTACTACATAAATATGTAATTGAGGGCTTCTACTTGACTAAAGAGTCTTCCAACTAATTTAACAGTCAAGCTGAGTTTCCTATAATAAATCAATTGTCTGAGTTAAAAAAAAACAATAAATATGTTCTTTGAGGGCTAAGTGTGCATGGGATAGATTGAATTGATTGATTAGAAACAGCAGAGACCACCGAAGATCTTGCTTGGATTTTTCCATCAAACAGGAGGGGGAGAGGGTTGACTCATGGATTAGCACTCCTGATCCCATCTAACAGTCTAGGTACCCGATTCTCTCCAAGCCATTTAAGATTCCTTCTCAACAACATAAATATCAGGAAACACGAGAAGTGCCCTGCAAGAAGATTTTGTATATATATTGTAAATATATGTATCCATCTAGTATCTATGTACCAAGCAGTCTGACCCTTAAAATGAGCGATCTTCTAGTTCATTAAATCATGCCACCAATGAGATGCAGTCCACTCAAATGAGTTAGCAGATCCCACCTTGTTCCCGCTGTGGTGACGCATAGTCAAGTTATTTCGTTTGGGAAGTACCATTATTAAGGCTAGTCACGAGTTCGGAGGGGAGGACCACGCTAGCTGATGGGCACTCAATGTGCCCCGTGAAGAGCGTGGACGATCACCTTGTTTGTGCATGAGATATACATTTCAGATGGGGGGCTTTAGAG